ATACCTCCTTTATACTTGTATTTTATTTAGCATAAATAATCATTTATTTTAGAATAAATGGTCCCAATTACGATTTTATGGTCCCTCTCTTCAATTCGTTGAAGCTATTATGTCGTCTCGCATTTTTGTATAAAACGGTTTTGACAAATTGACAATCTTGACATTTTCAATAATGTTTAAGTCAGGAGAACTCTACTCTCCAAACTATTATCACTAGCATTTCGTAACCGTATCGATTGTGACATTTCTGGTTCTTTCGCTGTTCGGAATTTTCTATTATTTTGATTTATTATACTTAGCCTTATTCTTATACTTATTTACTGATTATGCTGACTGCCTTGAAGTTTGATTTTTCTGGAACGATTCTACGCTATTAAGGGAGACTTTCAGATGAGAAGTTCCAATTACAGTAATGTCTCCCTAACTGACGCTTAGATTGCGCACAAAAATAGACAATTTGGGAAGAGGAGACATGATTATTCGAAACTTGCGGCTTAGAAACAAAAATGGACAATTTGGGAAGAGGAGACGCGATTGTTCGAGCTTTGCGGTTCGTTTTTATAGTTTCGAATTATTCCAAGTACAGTAAATTCTTCCTAATTGACACTGAAATTGCACACAAAAATGGACAATTTGGGAAGAGGGGATACGATTATTCGAGCCTTGCAACTCGTTTTTATAATTCTTGACAATCGATAACCATAAAAAGCGAGCCACAAAGCTCGAACAATCCTATCTCCTCTTCGAAAATGCTCCATTTTTACGGACAATCCGAGAGTACATTAGAGCGTCAATTAGAGAGACATTACTGTACCGCGCATCGGAAATGCATTGAGAAACGTAACCGAATTCCGAAAAGGTCGGAAAATTACAAAAATAGACAATTTGGGAAGAGGAGATACGATTATTCGAGCCTTGCAACTCGTTTTTATAATTCTTGACAATCGATAACCATAAAAAGCGAGCCACAAAGCTCGAACAATCCTATCTCCTCTTCGAAAATGCTCCATTTTTACGGACAATCCGAGAGTACATTAGAGCGTCAATTAGAGAGACATTACTGTACCGCGCATCGGAAATGCATTGAAAAACGTAACCGAATTCCGAAGAAGTCGAGAAATTACGCGGCTCGTTTCGCTACGCTGGGCGTGTAGTGTAGGAGGCGTCTTTACGACGATGGTCGCTGGCGGAACAAAAGGGTTAAATGAGCGCCGTTTGCTGAACAGCACGCACGACGACGACGACACGGCCCCGTGGAACGGAAACGCGGTCGTAAGTTGCTGAAACAGTAAACATAATAAGCGGAGGACCGTTGCGTTCAATTTCAGCGTGTGTATATATATGGGCGCGCAAGAGAGAGAGAGAGAGAGAGAGAGAGAGAGAGAGAGAGAGAGAGAGAAAGAGAGAAAGAGAGAGAGAGAGAGAGAGAGAGAGAGAGAGAGAGAGAGAGAGAGAGAGAGAGAGAGAGTGCTACACGCGGTTTCCAATACAGGCCTGTGTGTTTCATCTTGGGTTAACCGGCTATCGCGGCCGAGTTACGTCATTCTGCGAACTTAGACGCCATGTTTACCACGCTGGAATGTGAACGGCGCGCGTTAGAAGTCAACCGGAGAGACGACCGTTAAGACCCTCGTTCGTTCAACGTTTTCGCAACCTCTCTACCGTTTGTCCCACATTTTCGTCTACGTGCTTCGCACGTTTGCTACCAGATCATCCTGACGAGTCTCTTGCTATCCCTTGTGGATCGTTCCAAGTTATAGCAACGAATATTTTGTCGTATTATATTCTTCGATATTACGATCAATGTTTTATCTGTTTCGCGTCTAGCATCATCCCTTGTTTCAACGTACATTTTGTCCGGTAAATGTTTATTTCGAGACCGTAATTTAACGGAAATGTGACGTGAAACTTAAATTTTACGAAAATTGTTGCTTGGAAGAATATATTAATTGATACGTTAATATTATTATTATATAATAGATTAATATATTCATTTCATCCCTCCTTGCTAATTCAGGATATATTAATTAATACATTAATATTATTATTATTATTTGTTATAGTAATATTAATTTCATCTCTTTCTGTTAATTCAGAATATATGAACTAATATATTAATATTATTATTATATAATACATTAATATATTAATTTCATCCCTTCCTGCTAATTCAGAATATATTAATTCTGTCTCTTATACACATCTAGATGTGTATAAGAGACAGCATTAATATATTAATTTCATCCCTTCCTGCTAATTCAGAATATATTAATTTCATCCCTTCCTGCTGATTCAGAATATATTAATTAATATATTAATTTCATCCCTTCCTGCTAATTCAGAATATATTAATTCCATCCCTTCCTGCTGATTCAGAATATATTAATTAATATACTAATATTATTATTATACAATATATTATTAATATATTAATTTCATCCCTTCCTGCCAATTCACATTAAAAAGTGCTTTAGCAACGTTACTTTACCAACATACCGCAGAAATGAATCGCTTACAAAAATCGTGCACGAAGAAACACAATAAATATTGAACCAATTTGAATGAAATGCACCGTTACAAATTAATTGGCCCGCTATAAATAAAATGGACCACTAAAAAGAAAATGGCACAAATTTCAACGATAATAAAAACTGTTCGACTTGAGGCAAACCGGTGGGAAATTATTTTTACCCCGTGCAAAAAGACCGTCCGCGTTTCGTTTTTATTTCGCGGAGAAGACCGATGCCCTTAAACAATGGGGCAATGAAAGGCGGTCGCAGGGGCGAGAAACGGGGACGACGCGACCGATTCCGCGGAGGAAGCGGACAGGAAGTCCTTGAGAACGAAGACGGCGCGCAAACCGCCTGTAACCGCAAAAACTAACACTCGCGCCGGGCTGCGGTCAAGATTGCCTCTTGGTCCCAGCAAGGGGATGGAGGAACAAAGGGGTGGTGGCGAGCGCGCGCGGCGATGGATTCTACGACAAAGGAGAGGAAGAAACGCGCGCGCAGGATGGATGGCCAGCCATCCGTGATTTCCCGTCCTCGCTTTTGTAACGAAAAAACTAGCTGTATCCGTTACGCACTCGCACGTATTCGATCTTCTTGCGAATTTCGGACGGCTCCGGACGATAATGAGTTTTCGAGGGTGGGCCGGCGGACCGGGTGGTGGGGGGGGGGGGGGGGCGGGCTTTGAATAACAGGCTGCGTGGATTGCCAAATTTGTTGGACCGTTTTTGGCCCTGCAATTTTATTTTCTCTGTCTCTTGGGTCGAGTTTGTACTTCGGACCCCTTGACTGCAATTATACCACTCGGAAATTAAAATCCAACGACGCGAGATAGCTTTTAGCTATCAACGATGGATATTCTTGCCAAATTTCGATTTTTGTGAAATTGTATTTGGTTTGGTGTATCGATTAGAAATTTAGTGTTTCACAGTTTGTGAACTTGTTTGGACGATTGAGGGTGGAGAAATTGATCTCAGTGTGGGATTTAATTAGTATTTACTATATTTGTTTATAATTGAAATATGTGTATGTACTATATAAAATATAATATTATTAATATTTACTACGAAAATATTATAAATATACTATATAATATGAATATTATTATGAATATATATTATTGTAGATATTATTATAAATATATATATATATAATATCAATATTATTAAGAATATATACTATAGATATTATTATAAATATATATATATATAATATCAATATTATTAAGAATATATACTATAGATATTATTATAAATATATATATATATAATATCAATATTATTAAGAATATATACTATAGATATTATTATAAATATATATATATATAATATCAATATTATTAAGAATATATACTATAGATATTATTATAAATATATATATATATAATATCAATATTATTAAGAATATATACTATAGATATTATTATAAATATATATATATATAATATCAATATTATTAAGAATATATACTATAGATATTATTATAAATATATATATATATAATATCAATATTATTAAGAATATATACTATAGATATTATTATAAATATATATATATATAATATCAATATTATTAAGAATATATACTATAGATATTATTATAAATATATATATATATAATATCAATATTATTAAGAATATATACTATAGATATTATTATAAATATATATATATATAATATCAATATTATTAAGAATATATACTATAGATATTATTATAAATATATATATATATAATATCAATATTATTAAGAATATATACTATAGATATTATTATAAATATATATATATATAATATCAATATTATTAAGAATATATACTATAGATATTATTATAAATATATATATATATAATATCAATATTATTAAGAATATATACTATAGATATTATTATAAATATATATATATATAATATCAATATTATTAAGAATATATACTATAGATATTATTATAAATATATATATATATAATATCAATATTATTAAGAATATATACTATAGATATTATTATAAATATATATATATATAATATCAATATTATTAAGAATATATACTATAGATATTATTATAAATATATATATATATAATATCAATATTATTAAGAATATATACTATAGATATTATTATAAATATATATATATATAATATCAATATTATTAAGAATATATACTATAGATATTATTATAAATATATATATATATAATATCAATATTATTAAGAATATATACTATAGATATTATTATAAATATATATATATATAATATCAATATTATTATGAATATATACTATAAATATTCTTATAAATATATCTAACATGAATATATTGATAATATTAACAATATTAATTAATTTATCCCTCTATCAGACAGCACAAGTTAGCCAACTTATCGTCATTACTCTTAACGATAAAAAAGGTTACTACTCGAGGTACCACATTTATGATTTCCGCAAGAACTCAAGCGTCACGAGAATCAATGTCCTCTTTGTTTTGGTTCTAGATCGCGATCTGGGTACGATTCTAGTAGCGGTGGCGATTCTGACATCGAGTACAGTGGCAGCGTCTGTCGTGGTGCCGCTAGCCAGTCGCAGAATCCGGCCGCTACGAACGCGGGCGCACAAGGCCAGGGAAAGCACATAAACAAAGGAAGGTGGACCAAGTTGGAGGTAATTAAATGGAAGGCTTAACATCGTCGCG